TCTGGATCTATAAAGTTCCTTAAGTTGACATGTGTTGCAAATTGGCGCTATAGAAATAAACTGAATAGAACTGAATTTAATTGGATTGGGAGAAACGAGCACGGAGACCCACCTAAGGAAGATGGGAACGGCGGCTGTAACATGAAAAACACACAATTTGCATCTAGAGATGAAGATCCTTAGCGTGGTGCTGCCCCACAGGAGGGAGGAACACTGGGCTTTGGTCCGGTTCTGTACCGAGCAGCTGGGTCAGTGGGGGCTTCACTCCAGGGGTTCTGGGTTTTATGTCTCGGTCACTCAGGGAAACTCAGAGTCAGTCTAATATAGCACAGCTGGGCTTATATACAATGTTGGTATTTGATGTTTAGAAATGCAGCTTCTGCTGAGAAAATGTAATTTAGGAAATCTATCATTACATCTCTGAGTAGGAAGGTGATTTTGACCAAGAAGAATCCTATTTTAGTGATCTACAAATAGAACAAGAGCAGAGCGCTTTAATAAATGCCAAAACGGCCTGCCATACTGGACTTCATCATAAATCAAGCAGTAATCTTCTCTTACACCATCTCCCTCTCCTCTGCAGCAGATGATTGCTTTCCATCGTTATTAATTCAGAGTTGAGGATTTGAATCTGAGTTTGTTGAAGCTGTTCTTTTAAACTGGCCTCAGGACTCGTTGTTGTTGTTGTTGTTGTTGTTGTTGTTCCCTCCGATGTTCGGCCCGTTCTCTCTGCTTCCCTCAGGTTCTCTGGCAACAGGAAGAGAAAGAGAAGCAGCAGCTTTCAGAGCTCAGGTTAGCTAAGAAGATGAATCAATCTGCAAAGTTTACATACAGTGTTGAATGACGTCATGTCAAGTGATGCCAATAAACAGTTACTCAGACAATTCTGCAGAGGCTGTTGGAACCTGATTGCAAACCTCCAACTTAAAGAAAAGAGAGAAAATGCTTCTATAACTCTGCACTGAAGAGGACAAACAGGCATGTAAAATGATCCGTCCATCCATCCATCCATCTTCTTCCTCTCTTATCCAGGGTCAGGTCCCGGGGGTAGCAGCTTCAGTAGGGAGGCCCAGACCTCCCTCTCTACAGCCACTTGGCCCAGCTCCTACAGGGGGAATCCAAAGGTGCTCCCAGGCTAGCAGAGGAACATAGTCCCTCCAGCGTGTCCTGGGTCTCCTCCTGGGTCTCCTCCTGGTGGGACGTGCCTGGAACACCTCACTAGGGAGACGCTCAGGAGGCATCCTAACAAGATGCCCGAGCCACATCAACTGGCTCCTCTTGATGTGGAGGAGCAGCAGCTCTACTCCGACCAGTAAATCGAGACCTTTGCCTTTTGGCTCAGCTCTCTTATCAAGGGGGCGGGATTGTTGTGGCAGAAGGTTCGCAAGCAAGTTTGGTTGTGGCCGGTTTGTCAGAAGCATCTTGCTAACCAGTTAGCAACTTAGCGCTAGCAGGTTCCCAATGGGAAATTCCATTGGGACCAAGTAGCACTAAATTGGTGACTTAGAAACGACGCTGTCAAGGAACGCTATGGAAGAGGAGGAGAGTTTAGTGTCTGAGGTCGTGGATGAGTCTCCT